TCACTTTGTTTACCTGCAGCTTGTTCAATGTATACTGTGTGTGTGTGTGTAGCTTGTTCACAGTAGCAGTAGATGCCATTAACCACCTAAGTGGGGTGGAGGCTCCGGTGGGAGAAAAAGGTGGAGGTTTTGACATGAAAGCTTTGAGAGCGTTCAGAGTCCTCAGACCTCTCAGACTGGTTTCTGGAGTCCCCAGTAAGACACTCGTGTGAATGATCAGCGCATGTGTGAGGACATTAATACACGTATCTGTATCAGAGAGGTATTACCTGTGTTTTCTTTTGTACCTCCATCAGGCCTGCAGGTGGTGATGAACTCCATCCTGAAGTCCATGCTCCCTCTCTTCCACATCACCCTGCTCGTCCTCTTCATGGTCACCATCTACTCCATCATGGGCCTAGAGCTCTTCAAGTGTAAGATGCACAAGACCTGCTACTACACCGGCACAGGTAAGATCACCGTAGTAACTGATTCTAAACACCTGGGGCTGAAACTTCAAGGATAGTTCAGTATACCCAGAGTGTCTGTCAGTTACTTGTCTTCACTAACCTGACATCAGAGATCACACATAACGGTCACATGAAGCTCTTTAGCAACCTCACAAATCCACCCGGAGTTTCTGTGACAGCGTTCACATAAAAAGGGCAGATTTAGCTTCATATAACGATCATCATACTAAACAATGACACTCATCACTGTGACCTGTATGAGAGGGTCCGTTGGCCTTCTCTTGAAGAGAGGCGCAACAAACTCTGATTTTTATATATCTTTAAGGCTCTTATTGGTAAACTTCCACCTTACATCACAGCCCTGTTGGAGTGGAATACGAGTGCCTACATGACCCGTTCTTCTGATTGGCTCGTTCTTAAAGTCCTTGGAGCTTTTACTGAACTCGGTAAATCTGCATTTTCTTTTGATGCCCCAAATTTGTGGAACGCCCTCCAGCTAACTCTAAGGATCGGAGTTCTTCCCTCTCTTCCAGAGTTTAGGAATTTGATTTTGAACAACTTTGTTTCAAATTGTAACTGTTTTAAATGATCTCAGTGGTTTTTGTCACAGATTCTGAGTGTTTGATGTGTTTTTGCTTGTTTTACTGTGCTTGTAATCTCGACTGCATTGGAAATGAGGGAAACCTCAGTGTCTTTTCGAGAATAAATAAAGGTTTGAATTGAATTAAATTTCAGCTGATGTTAACATAGTGCCTATCAGTCTGTGCTGAAGGTTAAGGATTAATACCAGTAAAGAACAACTTAAATTTAATGTAATGTGTGTTTGCGCTCTCCTCACCTTCAGCTCACAGTGCTCCATGATGAAGAGATCTGATTGGTTATTAAGCGGAGTTTGTGTGTTTAGAATATTAATCAATTTAGAATTTAGAACTCATTTAAACTCATGATGTTTTCAAACTAAAAGAAAGATCCTCTGAAGCTGCCTTCTGTTGTTATATCTCAGGGTGATGGGATTGAGTGCTATAATCTCAACTACCTCAGAGTCTGAAAGCTGAATCTGTTTTTTAAGTTTAATATTAGCAGCCTGTAAAGAAGTAAAAGTTGCAGCTGGGCTTTTAATTTTAAGTATTTAAGTCTTGATCTCTCTAGCTGCAGAAATGGGACTTGTTTCTGTTCCTTTTTATGCCTTTAATGACTGTGGTGATGTTTTATGTATGCATGCATCTTCTCAATGCCTGAAAGTTTGGATACTGTTGTTACGATTTTGATGTGATTAATTCAAACAGGACACAACAAAGTTATCAAAATAACCAACCACAACACACACTAAACAACAGCTTGATGTGTGCTTTGCTTGTAATTAAAAATAATGAAAACTATATTTAAAGATTAAACTCTTGATTTCTTTGCGCTAAAAGAAAGCTGGTTTATTTGGGGCCTCACACGGGGCACATGTGTTATGATGTGATTAATAATTATACTGAATTACTAGTATTAATAAACTCAATAATTTATCTGAATTAATAACAACCGGCACCACCATGGAATCATGATAATAATAGGATAAGATAATGGTGCCATAAGCCTAACCCTAACCCTATTTTATCTTCATACAAATGTTAGAAGATTCAGTCCACTGTGACCCAATCACAAATCCCATTCCTGTTTATCTGTTAAAGTGCGTCTTGAAACAGGGAAAAGGAGTTTCAGGTTCGCTGCTCCTGCAGGATGGATGTGATCTGACTCATGACTTCCTGCTCTGTGACTAAGATATATTGCCCTGTCTTTGTTTTGTATCTTACATCTGTATCTTTGTTAAAATGAGCTGCTGAGCTGAGCTTGTTAAGGGGACTCTTAACAATCTCGACGAGGTTTTCCTGGTTAAATAGTCTTTTGATTAAAGAAATGTTCCCATTTATTGCAGGTATTATAGCCACAGTAGAAAATGAGAAGCCCTCTCCGTGCGCTCAGGCAGGAAATGGTCGTCGGTGTTCGATAAACGGTACGGAGTGCCGAGCTGGTTGGCCCGGTCCGAACCATGGGATCACACACTTTGATAACCTGGGTTTCTCCATGCTGACCGTGTACCAGTGCATCACCACGCAGGGTTGGACCGACGTTCTGTACTGGGTCAGTCATCACAGTGTTTGATCCTGTCAGGTTTACGATTTAACACATAATGACTTATTTAAACACCTGATGTGTTCTTACAGGTGAACGATGCCATCGGGATGGAATGGCCCTGGATCTTTTTTACCACACTCATCCTTGTGGGATCATTCTTCGTCCTAAACCTGGTTCTGGGAGTGCTCAGTGGGTATGTACCAGCCTTTATTTCTTTGATATTAATGACGTTATCCTTCATTCTGTTTGTTTCACTCTACTCTGACTCAGAGAGTTCACGAAGGAGCGTGAGAAGGCGAAGTCTCGAGGAGAGTTTCAGAAGCTGAGGGAGACTCAGCAGCTGGATGAAGATCTGAAGGGTTACATGGAGTGGATCACTCAGGCTGAAGTGATGGACAACGACCAGGAGGGGCAGGGTGATACACACACACACACACACACACACACACACACACACGCACACGCACACACACACACACAACAATAACAACGGGTTAATTTACATAAGCTGCTCAATAAACTGTGTATGTACTTTAATTGTGTGTGTCTGTGTGTGTCTGTGTGTGTATGTGTGTCCTCAGGTCTGCTGGACACAGAAAATGGCGGCTCAGAGACAGGAAGTGTCAGTAAGATGGACACCATGCAGCTCATCGTTTATTACTAGTCAGTGAATTTAAGTTTCTGGTTAGAGATGTTAATGAAGCTTCTCATATATATTCATTATATTAATGAGTATAATAAAAAGTAAGAATAATAAGTTCCTCTGATTCAATCCGTTTTATTCTTTGTTCAGTAAACTCGCTCGTAAGTGGAACCGCTGGCTTCGCCGGCGATGTCTTGTTTACGTGAAGTCGAGACTTTTCTATTGGTGGGTCATCATGCTCGTCTTCTTCAACACGCTCGCCATTGCCACCGAACACCACCAACAGTCTGAACGACTCACCAACTGGCAAGGTGAGAGTGTAACACAAACATACAAACACACAAACACACACTCCTCCTCCTCCTCCTCCTCAGATGATGCTAACAAGCTGCTGCTGTCCCTGTTTGCTCTGGAGATGATGAAGGCAATGTACTCTCTCTCCTCCTCCTCCTTGCTCTCCTCCTCCTTCTCTTCCTCCTCTCTCCTCCTTGCTCTCCTCCTCCTCCTTGCTCTCCTCCTCTCTCCTCCTTCTCTTCCTCCTCTCTCCTCCTCCTTGCTCTCCTCCTCCTCCTTGCTCTCCTCCTCTCTCCTCCTTCTCTTCCTCCTCTCTCCTCCTCCTCGCTCTCCTCCTCCTTCTCTTCCTCCTCGTTGCTCTCCTCCTCTCTCCTCCTCCTCCTCGCTCTCCTTCCTCCTTCTCTTCCTCCTCCTTGCTCTCCTCCTCTCTCCTCCTCCTCCTTGCTCTCCTCCTCCTCCTCCTCCTCCTTGCGCTCCTCCTCTCTCCTCTCTCCTCCTTCTCTTCCTCCTCTCTCCTCTCCTTGCTCTCCTCCTCCTCCTTGCTCTCCTCCTCTCTCCTCCTTCTCTTCCTCCTCTCTCCTCCTCCTCGCTCTCCTCCTCCTTCTCTTCCTCCTCGTTGCTCTCCTCCTCTCTCCTCCTCCTCCTCGCTCTCCTCCTCCTCCTTCTCTTCCTCCTCCTTGCTCTCCTCCTCTCTCCTCCTCCTCCTTGCTCCTCCTCCTCCTCCTCCTTGCGCTCCTCCTCTCTCCTCCTCCTTCTCTTCCTCCTCTCTTCCTCCTCCTCTCTCTCCTCCTCCTCCTCTCTTCTCCTCTCTCTCCTCCTCCTCCTCTCTCTCCTCTTCCTCCTCAGATAATGCTAACAAGCTGCTGCTGTCCATGTTTGCTCTGGAGATGATGATGAAGATGTACGCTCTGGGTCTGCCCTCGTATTTCATGTCTCTGTTTAACCGCTTCGACTGCTTCGTGGTGTCGACAGGAATCATGGAGCTCGTCCTTGTGCACATGGGCATCATGTCAGTGATGGGGATCTCTGTGCTACGCTGCATCCGCCTGCTGCGCCTGCTCAAAGTCACACGGTCTGCACTCATTCATTCACAACATGACCATGATCACATGATCTCTGTGGCTTCACTGATTGGTTGTCCTCCTTTCCCGAAAAAACAAACAGCTGATTAAAAACATTATGAACAGAAGGACTGTTATTTGTAGTCACTATCTGAAGTTCTTTATTGTTCATTTATTTGTTTGTTTGTAGTTACTGGACCTCTCTCAGTAATCTCGTGGCGTCCCTCCTGAATTCGGTTCGCTCCATCGCCTGCCTGCTGCTGCTCCTCTTCCTCTTTATTGTCATCTTCTCTCTGCTCGGCATGCAGGTGTTTGGAGGAAAGTTCAACTTTCCCAACAAGCTGAAACCTCGCAGCTCTTTCGACAGCTTCCCTCAGGCCCTCATCACTGTCTTCCAGGTACAAACACACTGTTCAAGCCCTCATCACTGTCTTTCAGGTACAAACACACTGTTCAAGCCCTCATCACCGTCTTCCAGGTACAAACACACACAGGTACAAACACACTGTTCAAGCCCTCAACACCGTCTTCCAGGTACAAACACACACAGGTACAAACACACTGTTCAAGCCCTCATCACCGTCTTCCAGGTACAAACACACACAGGTACAAACCGACTGTTCAAGCCCTCATCTACGTCTAACAGGCTCAAACACATTGTTCTAGCCCTCATCAGCGTCTTCCAGGTACAAACATATTGTTCAAGCCCTGATCACCGTCTCACAGGTACAACGACAGACTTTGACAGTAAAGTTTCTGTTTAGTTTTAGCTCTCTTTAGGCCGGACTAAACCCAAACTCTTTTGGATAAATGAAGCAATTTTAATTGTTTGGAGTCCTGGTAAGAGTGCTGTCAGGCTGTCAGCTGTTTCATCTCTGAAATAAAGGCACCCTAATGATGGGGCTTATGGGGAGGATGGCGATTGTGATGATGATGAATATTAATCGTCATGTTCAAGATCCTGACAGGTGAGGACTGGAACGCTGTCATGTATGATGGCATCATGGCTCATGGAGGACCGAGCATGCCCGGCATCCTTGTCAGCATTTACTTCATCATTCTTTTCGTCTGCGGAAACTGTATCCTCACAGAGAGAGAGTGTGTGTGTGTGTGTGTGTGTGTGTGTGTGTGTGTGTGTTTCTGTGTGTGTGTGTGTGTGTGTGTGTGTGTGGTGTGTGTGTGTGTGTGTGTGTGTGTGTGTGTGTGTGTGTGTGTGTGTGTGTGTGTGCTCATAGTTTAGTTTAGATCTTTGACTCGTCTGTTTTCAGTCATCCTGCTGAACGTATTCTTGGCGATTGCTGTGGATAATCTGGCTGAAGCTGAGTCACTGACTTTGGCTCAGAAAGAAAAAGCAGAGGA